CTCCTGAGTTGCCTGGTCCGCGACGCGACTTGCCAATGGATCCCCCCAAGGGGCGGCCCCCACCAGAGCCGCCGCCCAGGCCCATTTTATCAGCAGAGCAGATGGTTGCAGAGCCGACGCTGGCAGAGGTTGACAACATAGTGGGCAGCCTGCGCAATGCGGCCGCCCCTGGGGCAGATGGCATTAATGCGCCGATGCTCAAGGCGTCGCCAGCCCTGGTCAGCTACCTTCACTGCGTGGTTTGCCCAGTCTGGCGGGTGTGCAAGGCCCCTGTGGATTGGAAGCGCGCGCTTCTGGCAGCCCTGTACAAGGACAAAGGAGATAAGCGCGTGTGCGATTACCTGTGTGGGATCACCCTTCTCTCCATTCCTGGCAAGGCCTGTGAGGCTCTGCTGTTGCCGGCGACGGGTCTCACAGCACCTTGATGCACGGCTGTTAGAAGCACAATGCGGGTTTCGGCCCGGCCGCGGTCTCACTGATGCCACTTTCACGCTGCGCCAACTTATGGTGCGGAGCTGGAAGCACACGGGGCAACCCCTGTTCTTGGCGTTCATCGATTGACCTGCGTAAGGTGTTTGACTGTGTGCCGCGTGACGCGCTGTGGCGAGTGCTGCGGGCCTGTGGCGTTCCCTCTCTCCTGGTGGAGCTGCTGGTGGACCTCAGGGCCTGCACTCAGGCACTCAGGCGGCCGTGCGCCCGGGGCCTCTCGAGGGCGAAGCGTGTGATGTTTTGTGTGTTGTTAGGCAAGGTTGTGTCATTGCGCCGCTGTTGCTCAACGTGTTTATAGACTTTGTGTTGAGGCAGGCACTGACGCGCATGCTCAGGGACTGTGTGGTGGCTGTCGCCTTTGCCTGTGTTGGCACCTTGACCTGCCCTTTGGGTGACCGCATCACTGTGCAGGTGGCACCTGCCACACCGATGTTTCGCTTCTCACGCACGCTGATGATATGGCCCTCACCTGCTCCACCCCTGATGAGTTGCTGGTTCAGTTTCTCATGGTCATGGATGCACCCACCCAGGTGTTTGTAGTGGGTCCCAAGTATGTTTTTGACAATATGTGCTCAGCCAACACCCTAAACCCTAAGCTCTTACCCATTTTGCTGTTTGGCAGTGAATCGTGGGCGCTTTCCTGATGGCCTGGCAAAGCGGCTAAACACCATTTATAAAGACTGCCTGCGGCTGATGTTGGGTGTGCGCCGCAGCGACCGTCACTTGAGCAATTATATCTATGATCGTTGCACAGAGCACCCCATTGGTACCACCACTACTATGCGCGTGACCCACACCCGTCTGCCTAAACCGGCGCTTTGGAGCACCGCCCCAGGCCAGCGCGCTGTGGGGCGGCCGCGCGTGTCATGGTTTGACGTAGCGAGGCGAGACTGCGCTGCCATAGGGATTGATGTCCCCGTTCACCTAGACGACTGCGGCTCTAACCACCCCGCTTGGAAGAAGGCTTGCTTGTCTCTCCTGCCAATGAGGCATGCGCCCTCTTCTTAATTGCCGACTTGGCCGCACCCGCTTTCTCCTCTGGCCTTTACGGTACCGGGCGGTCGGTCACCCCTTTGGGGAGCCAGGGTTTCTCCCCACTTCCCCTCGCTGCTGGAAAAGTGTGATGTAATGTAATGTAATGTAATGCAATGGAATGTTATGCAATGTAACATAGGTACCGCTGCACCTGGCTATCTTCAGCCGGGCTGACCACCACTTGCCCTTCCGGCCGTGTCAGCAACCGTTGTCAAGGGCAGACAGCGCCCCATGAACCCTACCACCCGCACACACTAGTGCAAGAGCTGTGCTGCCGTTGCGTTACAGTCATCCCTCGTTACAGTGAACCCCGGTGATGCGAACTTTCTGCCTATTGTGAACACTTTCAGGGGGCCCGTCCTGCACCAATACAAATCTGACCCCCATCCTCCCGGTAAAGCGAAATGCGAACACCGCCTAATGCGAAGGCCGGGGGGCCTGATCTTTCACAATACCAA